GTGTGTCAACAAATATGTATGTATGTCTGTGTGCTGTCTCTTATACACATCTAGATGTGTATAAGAGACAGCACACACACACACACACACACACACACACACACACACACACACACACAATCAATTTTATGTTTGTTTGTTTTCCTCTTGCTGTCTGTTCTTCCTCTAATTTTATTTTCTTCTGTTCTCCCTCTAAATTTTTCGAAGTATTTTTACTTACCCAACTGAGCACCCTTAAGTAGTGCCAAACAGTCGGTGGTTCCTCGTTTGGAGTGCCTACTGCACTTTTATGGGGGCCGCTCAGTTCGGGATGTCTGTGCTGCCTGTAGGTGATGACGGATGCTCGTCGGAGTGATGTATGCCGCTCATGAGGACATATCGCACAGGGACCGGTGAAATGAGACTGGCCGTCCAGTAAGGGTACCGCGGAAAGTTGTGCCCTATGCTGACAGGGGCATGCAGGAAAGTTCAGAGGCCCCAGGGGCACGACAGGATAAGTGGGCCGTTGGAGGGGTGCGATGCAAAATAATGGAAATTACAGGGGCACCAGACAAATTTTTCCTTTAAATTATTTATTATTGTTATTATAATTTTATGAGGATAACGTTCAAAATTTGAAGCCTTGGCGGAAATGGCCCCATCCTCTTCTTTATCCGCCCTCAGGGGCTGCTGCAAGGTTCCACTCACAAAGAGGATTGGATTAAGCACCCGCATCTGGATGCGTTTCACACAAAGATGCAAAAAAGCAGATCAATTGTGATTCTCTTCACCTCCCCCACAACCACGTCCAGATTCAGGCGTGAAATCAAATCCTCTTTGCTCGTGGGACCTCGCCAGAACCTCAGAAATTTTGAACCTCTAGTTTTGAAAGTAGCTCCCTGAGGATGACAAAAAATATATATGTAGTATTATATATATTAATAATATTATTAAAAAAATAATCAGACTAGAGTCTAAACCAATAAGAATATAAGGAAAAAATGCCATGACTTCTTAAAAATAACCAAAAAAAAAGAAAAGAAAAAAAAGACGTAACTGCTATTCTGATGCACATCTTGTTAGTAAATTATGCACAGATGGAGTCCTCACCTCTAGCAGACCCAGAATCTCGGCTAAAAAGTAAAAACTAAAAATACTTAAAAATTAAAATAAAATAAAAAAGAATCTCGGCTAACCACAGGTTCACCACAGGTATACCGCAGGCCAACAGTATCCATAGGTTTACTATAGGTTTACCTTATGTTTACCATAGGTTGAGAATCCATTTATCTCGGATTGTTCGCCGGATGATCTTATACAGAGTTCCATGATTTACGGCTCCAGGGCCTTCGGCCTCCAGGGATCCTTCAATATACCATTGCGCACCATGAAAGGTACCCATTAAAACATTAAGGGTCATGTGAGCACTACGTCCCGGTCTGAAGCCATGTGAATAAGTGGAAAAGCGGGGTTCATAAATATTAAATAGGTTCTAAGATCATTCTAATAACTTCTTGTACGATCCTGTCCTCGAAGCATGATACTCCCAGTGGAGGTTTACCATATCGTTAGCACAAGTTTATCAGAGGTTTACAAAAGGTTCACCATAAGTTTACCGTTGGTTTACTGTAGAGTTACTGCAGGTTAACCAGGGGTAAGCGTAGGTCAATCATCGACGGACCACCAGTGTCATTTTTCATTTTTTTTTTTTTTAATAACACTCCCCCACCAGTGTTAGTGGTGCTGATAAGAGCAGACACCGCTAGTAGCACCTTGGGAGAGGCTCCATCTATTGGTCGGGAGCAACACCTGCTGGAGAGCGGGTCCAGCGTCCCTTATACAGACTGAAATTGGAGTGCATCAGAAAACAATTGTGGGATGTTACCTGCCAGCATTGATTACCCTGGGATCCACAGGTTAACCGTCGATGAATGATCACAGTAAGTTACTCGTACTTTTACCATCGGCTTACCATAAGCTTACCATAGGTTGTAGGTTCTTCATAGCCTTGCCAATGGTTCAAACTTCAAATAGGTATAAGTCAGTCGTAGTTTTACCATACGTGACCATAGGTTACTATAGCTTTACCGCGTGTTTACCACAGGTATACCACAGATTAATTGCACGTTGACCATAGGTTCTCCATAGCCTTACCATTGGTTACCACAGGTACAGGTTCGTTGTAGTTTTACCACAGGTTTACCACAGGTTTACCACAGGTAGGTTTACCACAGGTTTACCACAGGTACAGGTTC